CTGGGCGCACTCCCTCCGGCCGCTGAACCGAGCGGACGCCTGGGGTCGCAGCGCAGCCCTCCGCACCCCTTGTCTATCATGCCCCGGGCCCGGGCTGTGGCCGCCGACGCAGCCAGGACACCATGCCCGAGGGCGGCGACGGCGGGGAGGCGCCCGCGCTCATCCCGGACGGCGAGCCGCTGCGCGAGGAGGTACTAATGCGGGTGGAGAGGCTCGAGCGGGCCGGGGGGAAGGAGGAGGGCGGAGGGCCAGACCCGGGAAGCCCTGCGGAGCCAAGTCCCGGCGCCCCTGTGACCGATGACGTCATCGGGGCAGCCCCCTGCCAGGGGTCCTGGGACCCAGGGACCCGCGTGGGCTCAGGGGTGGGGCGGCTGCGCAGGAATGGGGGGCGACTCCGCCCCCGAGACCCTTCCTCCAACCTCTCCTGCCCAGTGACGTCAGCGCCTAGCCCCCACGTCCCCATTCCGCAGCGTGACCCAGAGGCCACTGTCACCCCCAGGTTTGGGGTCAGGCCCCCAGCCCAAGCAGTCCTGTAGCTCACGGGCGCTTGCCATCGCCTGCATTGCAGCATCGGCAGCAAGGACTGGCGTGGGGGTGGGGGCAGAAGGGAGGAGGGGCGGTGGAAGGGAGTTGAGGTGCCTCCAGTACCCACACACACCCCCCACAGAGAGACCTTTGGGCCCACCTTGTAGGCTGGGGCCCTGGGAAGGCCCCTCCACTAGGCAGGAATGGAATCTGCAAGAGGCCTGGGTGGGGTGCTGGGGGGAGGTGGCAAGCTTATGTGCATGTGTGTGTGTGACGGGGTGTGTGTTCCCACACCTGTGTGGACATGTGCCCTCTGGCCAGGCGTGGGTAGCCCTCGGTGTGGGTGGGCTGTAATGTCTGTACAATGCCGTGAAGGGTGGGCCTCTTCCGCGTGGAGGCTGTAGGGTATGAGTGTCATGTTGCAGAGGGTGGGGTGGGGTGTGTGACCCTGCTTAGTGTCACATGTGTATATACCCGTAGGATGTGCATGTGTGAGCACACAGATAGAGCATGCAGTAGGTGTGGGGTTTGCACCCTGTGAAGGGTCAGACATGTGTGGATGACCAGGAAGGTGGACAGCCTGTGATAGGGCTACAATGTATGTTTCAGAGAGTCTTACAGGTGCACATGCATGTGTATGTGTGTGTGTGTGTGCGTGTGTGTGTGTGAGAGAGTGAGAGACGCTGGCTAGGTCAGGGAGATGGTGTGGCCCTGTGGTAGGTGGACCGCAGTGCACGTAGAAGGCAGTCACAAGTTGCCCTGGGTAGGGTGGTTCCTGTCCTCCTGGGTCCCTCAAGTTCTGGTGGTCCTGAGACGGGGCATGTGGTCCCTTAATCCACCTCTGCTGTTTCCACCAGACCGTCTCTTCCTTCCTTCTTCCTTTCACCCACTCCTTCCTTCCCCACCTCCTTCTCACTCCATAAGTATCTGGGGATGAGGTGGGGGCCAGGTTGGCAGCTCTGCCAGGGGAGGCAGCCCAGGCCCTGGGGACCAGGGAGTGGCCTCTATCACCCAGCAGCTCTGCCCCACCCCCTTCCTCAGTGCAGATGGGGAGTGGAGGATGGCCCTCCATCTGCTCCCTACCCCCCAAGACTTACACTTCCTCTGCTGCCAGCTCTTCTTTGTCACTTACTTCAAAGCCTCGCCTGAGTCTTCCTGCAAACTCTAGTGGATCTGAGGGACCAGAGGGGGTGACAGAAGAACTGATGATATTTATTCTCATGGTCAGACCCTATACCTTACCACTTCTTCACACATATGATCTCGTATCTGGAGTCCTTACAAACCCAGTTTACAGATCAGGCAATTGAGGCCCTGAGAGGATGAGGGGCCTGCCCTGGCCATAAAGGGCATGGTAGATTTGGCATCAGACCCTGGAGAGTTGGGTTGCATGGCCAATGAGTTCATCTCTCTGACGGCCCTTGTCTCTGGACTTGCAGGGACAGGTAAGTCAGCCACGGAGACTTGACCAAGGCAGAGACATGATCAAGACCACACAGCAAATCAGGGCACAACTAGGACCACACTCAGGTTTCTCAGTGGCCGTTTGGGGTCCTTCTTTCTCCCAGCAGAGACAGGGCTGGGTGTGCTAGGTGCCCTCTGATGGGCCTAGGTGTAAATCCCGCCACTCCACTCCAAGTTAACAAGAAATGGCATCCCTCAGAGCTTCAGTTTCCTCTTCTATGGGTGGGGAATCTCATAACAGCCCTCCTACTGGTGTCAAGAGAGTGGCAGGCTGGCTAGGGTCCCCTTCTGACCCCCATCCCCTCTCCCCACCTGCAGCAGCGTCCCCTGAAGCAGTCGCTGGGAAGTTCTCTGTGCCACGAGTCACACTGGAAGTGCCTGCTGCTTACCGTGCTCATCCACGCCTGTGGCGCTGTGGTGGCCTGGTGCCGCCTGGCCACCGTGCCACGGCTGGTCCTGGGCCCCGAGGCAGCCCTGGCCCGTGGGGCCGGGGGCCCGCCGCCCACCTACCCGGCCAGCCCCTGCTCCGATGGCTACCTGTACATCCCGCTGGCCTTCGTCTCCCTCCTCTACCTCCTCTACCTGGCTGAGTGCTGGCACTGCCACGTGCGCTCCTGCCAGGCGCCGCGCACCGACGCCAACACAGTGCTCGCGCTGATCCGGCGGCTGCAGCAGG